TTTTTTTATTTATATTTTCAGTTCTTATGATGTTTTCTTTTCACACAATACCGAAATATATATCTCACATACGCTAACGCCACATATTAGATCCATATCAGCTAATAAATACTTTAACAAAACGGCGCCTATCCGTAAGCGGCGTAAATGACGTCATCCTTAGTAAACAACTCATTCATAAACAAGCTGACGTTATTTCATACATACAAGAATGATAAATGGGGCACTGATGTAAACACGATACGACGTAAGTTTTTATTGTTGAAAACTTGATAAAATAACGGTTTTTTTTCTTATTATTTCTATTGTTTGATAATTTCTATATCTTCGCAACAGTAAGATGCGAAAATCGAACAGCGTTATACGAAAATCGGCACCGGAAGTTATTTCCGCTTGTAAAATAAGTTTAGTGATTTTCCTTATTTTATCGTGTTAGAATCGAAATAACATCGGCCTGAGAGGTGTATATCGGCTATTTAACACCGGTTTTGTCGTTTTGATGCGACAAAATTAACAACTCAGGCCTACGGCCTTCGTGGTCAATTCCTACGCATCAAAACTCCAAACCGGTGTTAAATAGCCGATATACACCTCTCAGGCCGATGTTATTTCTTAATTGAACATCCCTGCGTTACTGCATAAACAAGGTGGTGTAGATTTCAAAAATAAGGTAAGCCCAAGATATCTCTGCTCATTCAAGATGGCCGCCATTTTCAAAAAGACCGCCATATAAATTTGACGTACATTAATGGCTGAGTTAAAATTTGTGTAAAGACCTGAAACGTACACCATAGCATGTAAAAAGTGTCTCGTCCTACGAAATTATGCTTTCATACCTCTTAACAATCCAAGATGGTGTCCAAAATGGCCGCCGATATAATGCCAAGCTGTAATATCATTTTGTCTCATTCATTTGTAGCACAACTTATGTAAATGTCGATACAAAAATAGTGTTTAAACATATCAGAATAAATATTAACATATGTAAATGATAATGAAAGTAAAGTTTTTTAAGATTATGTCTAAAAATACCGCTGCAAATATAAAGAAAAAAATCTTAATTTTTGTATATTTCTTTAATTTGGTTTATTTCTTTTACTTTGTTTGTTACTTTATTTTTATTTGACATTCAATAAACAAAAGGTCAAAATGTACGAAAAAAATAAAAATCTGTAGACTTTATATTTTGTCAAAGTGGGTGGGGTAAAGTTATCCGATGATTATAAAAATCAAAAACAACAAGCACAAAATTTGAACAGGTAAGTTGGTTCTATTTCTTCGGTTTATCTACAACTCTTATGCAAATATTCCCCATTAAAATTTATTCTTTATTAGACGAAGATATTTTTGTCTTCCTTTGGGTCAAGTGGGTGAGCTTAAATATCAATAAATGCATATATACTCATGTGAATACATGCAATTATTTAATTTGGTTGTGCGATAATACTTGTTTCAATATTTTTGATATTATTCATTTATTATTCATTGTAAAACTAGTGCCCTTAAATTATGCTTCTGCAGTCTAAAATGGCTTTCCATGGGATGTTACTTATGTTTGCACAGGCTTGAAACTGTCTTAACAATTTTCTCAGAAAACAACAGTGCCCAGAGCAGAAATTATATCATGTTACACTAACATGTGATACTCTATAAAGAAAATATGATATATTGGTATAAATGGTCAAAACCACTTAGTTTATATAGACTCATATAGGAATATAACTATATGAGTTCTGAGTGCCTAGATATTGGGCATGTTTTTTTTAAGCGAATCTTTACAAATCGTTCATAAATCATAACTGTATGTGGTGAAAATATTGGTACCCCATCTTACTTCTGTATAAAAGAACTATGGCAATTTTCCTGTCTTTGATCTTTGGTGAGTGATCTAGGGTTGAGTAATGGTTAAATGAAATTTGAATCATTTTTGATAGACAGTTTATATTTCAAATCATAAGCAACTATATGTGGGTTAACATACACTATTGATATACCGATTTCACTACATACAGATGATAATTATGATGTATCATCTGCTTTAATTTTAGGTTGTACCTTTTGAAAATACCATGTCTAGATATGATTTCATTAATCAAAAATCATACATCCAGTTTTCCTAGATGCAGAGACTTATTATCTACCAACCAATATGCAGCATTCTAAAACTTCTTTGGACATACGATCTTTCGTATCTTGTTTTCTGTAACTGTATTATAAAACTAATCCGTTTCAGCAATTCATATTTGTCTAAATTTGTCTTAAGGTATTTCTTACTTTACAAAAACTAAAAATATTCTTGACATTTAGTCATTTTTCTTACCTTTTTCGTTTTTGTACAAGAATGAGGACATGCAATGTTCAGAAAATCGTCTAAGTTTAAACTATATTGAGGTACATAAAATTCTCCGTGTATGTAGTCACTGTATGTTTCAGATATTGTTCATGAAATAGATATCAATTTTAGTGTACAGTTTTTGTTAAAATGCGCAGGAATATAATCACGAAGCATTATACCGATAACAGGGCAATATGTTCCTATAATGCAAGAAAATGTAATCTACTTCCAGTCTAACATGCTCATAAAAAAGAAAATTTATAAAAGTATGGACTATTGATATACATTGAGCGTAAAAGAAATTTTGCTGACATTCTGGTTTTACTGACGTCATATATGACGATTAAGCATTCGTTATTATGCTGTGCATATTTCGTGTAATATAATGCACTTGATCGCCCTATTTGTAAGATAGATAAATAGTATGAAGCGTGTTAGAACTTGCATTTTATGTAATAATCATCGTTTATTATCGCCTAAAATTAACGGGAGTTCACCGCCTGCCTTAAGCCAATCAAAGCGAATAATTTAATATCACATGATAACAAAATTGACGTCAAAAAACTTCAACAAGGGATACGTACATGCGCCCAACCGCCATGTTTGTCGGGTTGCCTATTCGTATCATTATCAATGTACAAATTCATTACCAGTCTGTAGGCTCTTGCAGGATAAACCAGCAAATTGCAATATATTTTGCTACATGTCATTTCTGATTGGAGAATGTCTAGTCTAGATAAGGGTAAATTTTGTTTTCATCCAAAACTGGCACTTAAAGAAAATAACATAATATTTTTTTTTCTTCTTCTGGGCGAGTTTATTACTATGAGATTTTTTATTGCATCATATCTATGATATATAGCATGTCAGTTATATAGTCCGTTTCAACAGATCGAGTATTTTTGTTGGCTTTATGTGTTGACGACATGCAATTAGGTATTAGACAAGAAATTATATAATTTCTATATTTATGGCTGAACGGCGATCCCTAGCATTTTGGAAATGCTAATACTTGAAAGTTTAAAGACTATAATCAAAAACAAGCATTATCTTATATTAAACCACCATTTCATTTAATTATATCAATGAAAAAAATGCAAAGTTTGTAAAGCCAACGTCAGTTTGTAAAGCCAACGTCAGTAGTTAAATTTATCTTTCTATTTTGTGGCGCGCTCTTTCAGTTTATCAGGGTAAATTCATTGATAAATGCATAACTTTATAAATTAAATTCGCATACAGTACAAATTAAATAACAGTACAGTTAACAAAGCATTAAACGATAATCGAGCTTTAAAAATATAAAAGTTCTCCTTTTTTCAGAAATTCAAACTATCATCATGTAATCGTATATTTCTGTACGAGTATATAAAAATTGAAAGGGAACGAGAAGTGCTATAGAAAGGGACCTTCTCGGTTGTCTGTAAAATGTTTACGGTATAAATGCACATTCTTTTGTTTTCGTTTAACAGTATACTATTCTTACCAATTATATTCTACCTGCTCTCCATTTGGAGCCTCAACTATACATTCTTCTAGGCGACCTTCACCTCTCTTTATCGTTCGGTCTACGGGTACTTTGGTAAAGCGTATATGGTAAGACTTTTCTCCCTGGCAAATAATGAGTAAAAAAATAGAATGGCATTGAAATTCATGAAATTAATTGTCATGAAAGCTTTAATTTCACAAATCGATCTAAGTAAAAACAAAGAATAAAATCTCTTTTTGATATATTTTCCAAATCTTACAGGTATTACTTGTACGTATCATTTTTCACAATCAAATGTTTAATTGACAGACCAAAACGAAGTTAGGCTAGATATATTACGTTGTCATTAAGATATTAAAAGAGGAGCTTTATATGCGAAGTAACCCATTTATGTAAATTTGAATGAAGACAAAAATAAAAGTAAAATAAATACATTTATAAAGCATAGACTAATATCTTAAGTAGCACAGTTCAAGTATTCATGGCTTAAGAAATGACATATAGAATGTAAACGGACTGCCCAGTAATACAAATGGCGGTGCTTCAAATATCTATAGAACCTGCCAAACGCAAGTAAGACGAACACATGTATGAACAATCTTCATTACATTAACATTGCATACAAATACGAAGTAATCGAATCGAAGTTGCTTTTTTTAACAAAAACATTAAAAGATTAAACCAGATATTCCTACGTCGCTTTGTGAACAATCTTCATTACATTTACATTACATACAAATACGAATTAATCGGATCAAAGTTGCTTTTTCTTAAACAAAAACATTAAAAGATTGAACAAGATATTCTTACATCGCTTTGAGAACAATCTTCTCCTTGGAAACGTTTAGGGCAGTAACATGTCGCTTCAGAACCCGTTTTTATGCACGTTCCACCATTTTGACAGCTATTTGCCTCACACTTCTGTCCGCGAATACATCTTAAAATGTATAAAATTTACATTTAAACACACAAAGATCGAGTATCTTGGGCAAGGTATCGTGGATTTACAACATTATTTAAAAATCTGGTCAAGGATTTCTGAATTTCTTTTTAATATACGAGTATATTGTATTTGGTATGTTTATAAATATTATTTGCTACCGTAAAGTTCGGATTTAATGAAAAGCAGCAATGTTTCTAGTTTTCTATTATCCTAGTCATTCCATAAACTATATCAACTTATTAAAATTGAAATAAGCCAAACTAACTTTTTCTCAAAGTCCTGGCGAATGCACATCTTATTTCCATTACATATGCATTCTGTAATTATAGTAAAGCACACTAAAGTACTAAATTTCCACAGATAAAACATTACATAAAGATAACTATGAAAATAATACAAATCAATTATGTTCAAAAAGACATAAATATATTTACAGAAGATATTCTTAGCAGTTTGTAAAAATAGAACAGGTAAGTAGTTAATTAAATAACAGCTAGATATTGCAACAAATTGTGTTACCTGTATTTGGTACGAATGAAATTTTTGCTTGAAATCCTTTTAGGGCAAATGAAACGTCTGTTTTGAATTCAAGGCGAAGAGAGTTACCGCGAGTGAGAAAAGTTCGCCCATGTAGACTTTCACCGCAGTATGGTCCACCAAGCAAAGCTGAGTCTGTAGAATTAATGATAGAATCGGGTCATCAAAATAATTCCGTCGAAGGTGGCTTATACGTAGGAAATAGATTCGTATTTTTAGTGAAATTAAAGTGATATTTAACTGTTTGTTTTGCAATACTGAAATAACGTTATTTTTTACGGTTTTTGCACGCGCTGTTTGGCGCTTGCATTGAGACATCTCATTAACAACACTTCAAACGTCTGTACAGCACTAATGACTGAATTAAGGATATTGGTGTTCGGATAGTTTCAGGGCTAAATTCAACAAAAAATTGTTTCTTATTTATCTATTTATCAGATTTTTCAAACATATCACATTGTCAAAGTGTGAGTTTGCAAATATGGAAGGGAGAAAATAAGAACGGCTAGTGTATCTGCTGTGAAATATATCACGCGTCCGACCTTTTTAGTTTATATAAAGGAAATATCCGATGGTGTTAGTATAAGTATCAATACAAACTATGCTTCTGTTCAATTAATTTTAAAGAGTATCAATTAGGCACTGCTAATTTTACATGTATTCTTGTCATGTTTTCTTTGATTTATAGTTATTAGCTTAATAATAAAACTTGAAACTACAATTTAAATACCATTTCTTTCTCCAGATAAAACTCTCAAGGAATCAAAGATACAGTTGTCCGATTCTTCAATGTCGAAGTAGTCGAATTCTACCTGTACCACGTGATATGGTAATTGATCATTACGTACAACAACTATACAATCTTTGTTGTTTTCGTATTCAGGTGCGGTGTAAACCAAAATGCCGCTGTATGTATCGATTCCTTTGTACATTCGACTACAGTCTGAAAGCGAAGCAATATAATGAAAATCTTATTAAAAAACATTGCATTTGATGTTTTGTTATACCGAAAAAGAATCTGTTAATTTGAATATGGTGCAAATTTCACTAATTACAAATGTTCATTTTTATTTTTTCTAAATTCTATAACAATAGTAAGCATTACCATTATTTCCACCAACTGGAGATGGGGTTGTTGATGGTACAGGTGCTGGAGTAAAGTTGTCCTCGACAAACATATAATCAATTGTAAAACGTTCACCTTCTTGTTGAAGAGGATTTCTATACTCAATAAACATTGAACTTGCATGATAAGGCAGATTTCCCGGAACAGTGTCACTACATATTGTACCGAGGGGTGTTCCTTCTGAAAAGTAATTAATATATTCTCAAAATATTGTTATTAATGAATATGAACAAGCAAATTGGTTGAATTTATATCCCACGTCGAAACATACAAATGACTTGGTTGAAACTATAACTTACTACAGACCATTAATAATTATGATACAAACCCATGGACATTCTTTTAAAGTATATTATGGCAGTAGTTCTTATAGCATTGAGATATTTTTGACATTGTATTATACCATTTGGTCGTTCATTTAGCGTATGCTAATATAGGAATTATAACCTTTGCATTTAAGTATAATGAAAACATATCCATGGCATTAATTCAAATTAGACAAGTAATTGATATAATTCAAACATTAACTCTGATTTATTTGATAACTTAGATTAAATTTACAGCTAGTTCTTGATGTTGTGTTGTCGATAATGATTTATATTTCTCATCTGTAGGTAGAATATGTTTTAACCTTTATTTCCTTTTATAACTGGGCAGGCGAATAACCGCACCTTGATGAGGGTGACCCTATGCTCTGCAAATGGCAAATATTAGTCGATTCTTCTAGCTCTACTTTTCTTCATTATTTTCTTTGCTACCACAACCATCTTTTTAATAAAACTATTTGATTGACTATGTATTTAGGATGATGTTATGATGCATTTCTGCCTGTTTTGCATATTCAGCAGAAATGAACTGTGTGTTACTTTTCAAAAAGTCAGTTTGACAAATATGAGTGGTTAACGCGTCGAACTAGTAATCTAATGACCGCTAGCCGAATGGGTTCAAACCCCGTCAGGGGCAAGTCGTTGTTTCCTTGAGCAAGAAACTTGACCATTATTGATCAAAACTGTTAGGTTCCAGGAACAGGTTCGAAAGTATGTCTATAAGTCTATAGCTTCATACACAATCGAACTAAATTAAATTCTGTGTAAACCAAATCCGTAAAAAATAAAAAAAATGATGGTCCTTATACTATTTTGCGTGTTGTAACAAGTCTACTTCAAACAGTAAACATGCAAAGGTTAAGGTGCCGCATTTATATGCGGTGCTTTTTAATGAACATACATAGATGCAAGTATAATCATAATCAGAATTAGTTGGATATGAATAAAAAAAATTAAACAGTAAAATAGCTAGTAATAGACAGTAAATAAACGTTAAATGTGGGTTTGTGCTTAATATAACCACAGTTAGTCGTTTAAATGCATTCAAATACTTACGTGTACTGTGACCTTCATAAATGATTATACTTTCCTCCTCACAACTAGCCGAGCCAAAGTCTAGCATTCTTAGTTCCAAAGTTATAACTTTGTCCCCGGGTGCCTGAAAAATCATGTGTAATACGCTTTAAACTATAATTATACTATTTTATACCTATTTCCATTCTAACATGAAAGGAAAATTGATAAACTCTGCGTACTTTACAATGATAAACGAAGTTACATGGACAAGTAATTCAAACGAAAACAATATATTGACTTAGCGATGACGTAATTTTCCAAAACTCATTTTGAAAAAAAAGTCTACTGAACATCAAATCAAAACTGTGGTAACAAGATTTTCTATGATTTGGTCCACTTTTTACCTAATGTTGAGCATTTTCAAGCCCTTGTTAGATTACACAGTAGAAACATTCCCACAAAGAATGATTGCCTCTAGAGTTTTACGTTATTGTCTAGTCTTCGATTGACATATGCTTATCTTGATATAAATTAATTGATAATATGCAATGAGCTCGATTAACATTACGTCAAACGATTGCATTCAATCAATTAATAGGCGTCCGTGGCGAAGTGGTTTAGGTCTTTTGATTTAAAACCACATGCCTCTAACCGCTTTGGGTTCGAATCCTGCCAGGGACTGAATTCTATGATTTGATCTAGAAGCTAGCTAATGGAACATAACATGTCTGAAATAATTCACTTGAGCACTTGAGCGTTTCTCCACCTTAAAAAGCTGGAATGTTGCCATGTTATTACCTGTATTCTGTAAAAACAATCCTCTCCTAAATCCTCTTTATTCATTATTCTTGAATCTTCACCACCCAATATACTGCCAATGCACTTAGAGTCATCCCCACCTCCTACAATAGGTTTTATCATTTTTTACAAAAGAGATTGATTATTTCATCCCTATTACCTTGCTCTGTTTATTTTAATTAATAGTATAGGGTCTATACCATAATATTGCCATAATGCCAAGCGGGTTTGTCTCCATTTTATATGTCAAGGTATTGTGACAACAATTTTAAAGTATTCAAAAAATATAAAATAGGATTTTTTGTTGGTGTTTTACTTTAAAGTAGAGCAGACATAAAAAGTAATGAGTCTGCTACATTCGACTTGAGTGTATATAAATTGTTCTCAGGTTTCATTGACTTATATAAATACAATGTAGTAATAAGTTGAGGTTATTATACATTGTTGAGTACAATATTGAATTCTGCTGGAAGAATAAACAGATCTAAAGCTTATATTGGATAAGACGCTTATAAAGTCCAATATATGTTTTTGATCTCTGTAAAAAATCCAATAGAATCAGTATTGTAATCAACAACATAAATGAGACTATAAATTGTGAATGAAAATGCACATTAAACAGAGAAAACACTGGAAATCAACATTATTTGTATTGCAACAGAATTTCCCAGTGTACAAAGTGGATTTAATATAGATTTTTTCTGACTCTGAACAATGCTTAATTGATGAGATTAACGCTGGAAGTCCATTGATATCATTTTATAAGTGGTAAACAATTACTTTTACTCGACTCGATGATGAATTTGAAACCCTTGTCTTCATATGACTCATCCGACTTGAACTGTAGTTGAATTTCGCTCCCAAATGTGATATATGTTAATGGGTCCCAACCACAGTATTTGCTTGTTGTCCCATCAACGCCCTTTTCTGTAATCTCAACATAGTCCCAGCTACCAAATATAATAATTACAATATTAATAAATGTGATTAAAAACAAGCACGGATAAAGCATAAAGTCTACCTCCATACGTCATTCAGAAAGCATTATATGCCTTGTAATTCTATTTTCAGCAATCCATATAAATAACTAAACGTTTTACCACTGCAGACGATTTCTGAAACATTAATTTAATGCGAAATTTTTCATGATTACCTCACATAAGCCAAATTTTAAATAATTATCTTTGGTAGTTTTTGAGAGATAAATATTACAAAGGATTAACAAGAAATTTTATGTACAAATTCATACACTTTTGAATTACATTCATTATTTTGCAAAAGATAAGTTTAGAATTATCTGTCAGTTTGACATGGCGACACATTTTTTATAATCAACAAGTTTAAAGCAAGTAGCTTTGATGGATTTTAAGAAACTATGACAAAAAGGTAAAAAAATAATTTAATTAATAACTTTAGTAAGTAATTAGTCCCACCCCTGATGATTTGATAACCCTTGGTATATGTTAAAAGTGAAATGTGCTTATATGAAATAATGTCGTTTGTTTTGTATATTTTTCAATTAGAAGTTTATTTCTATGAATTTGTAGTGAATTACCGGTATTGTGAAAACAAAGCTGGGTTTTACGTGACGATGCAGATTTTCATACATAAACATACGAAACACATTGGCTTTTACATGCAAACATTTTATTAAAGCGGTTCTCCCACGTGACTTTTATTTTGAGTATCAGATGCAGAATTTCATTGCATGACAAGTGTGTCACATTCAATATTCCATGAAAACCGTTGCATTTCCCTTTTTTTTTTATTTATTTAAATTTCTTTTTATAAAGGTTGGGAACAGTAGATCATAATATATATCAATATGGTTTGTGTTGTGTAGAAGATGTCAGGGATGTTTGAAGATTCCTGAGCATGACTTCAACGTGTCTGTGGTATGTTTAGTGTTGCATCGATTCAATTTCTTTGTTTTGTTTTTGTTATGTTTTTTGTGCATGGGTGATACAAATGGAATGCTTTTGAAAATGAGCTAAAAGTGGAAACATGTCCAAATCGAGTGATGCGTCCATTTGCGACACTGTCTCATTATGCCACTGATTTATAGGCCCGTGTATGGCTTTTTGTGGGATTTGAACCCACTCCTCTAAGAGGGCCTGTATAAGCGCCTGGTTGATGGTTGGCTTAACAGGGGGAGATGAAATCGCTTTCTGCCTTTGCCTTTGGTCTGCTTTTTGTGATAAGAAGGCTTGGTGACCTGAAGTTCCATCTCAAAAGTTCTATCCATTGTTTTCGCGTTCAGGGCACATGCAATTTTGCTTGGGAACCAATGCCGTTTTTCATGGAATGACACAATAGCACAATAGTGTCCCATTGAATGTCCCATGGTCGACGTCTGATGAGCACTAGGAGTCATAATGCTGTCTAAAAACTTCAGTAAGATAAATTTTGCATAACTGAAGTTCTGAGACAGCATATTGATTCCAATAGTGATTCTATTTTACTAGCTTCATATAGGTTATAATATGCATTTTAGAAAAATATTGGTTACTTACATACAGTTCTCGCTCTCTTCGACGCTGAAGTAGTCGGATTTTAAGATCATGAAATGATCTTCAGCTGTCTTTACCGTCCATGTACAGTCTTCATGTACTCTGAATAGAAAAAAGATCAGAATTTGGTCGAACATACATGTGGAAATCTGTTAACCAGGTCGTTTTTTAACTTCTTAAAAGTATTAAAGATGTAGTCTTAATTAAAGGCAGCATGCCCCCAGATTCATGCAAACTTTCATGATCTCTTTCTAAAATGTATTTAAATGTAAAATGTGTGTAGTGAATAAAGAAAGTAATAAACACATTAGAAATTCTATTAACAATCCACGTAAATGGCCTAAATAGGTAAAAGAATATGCAGAACGAGCCCTTACTGCGTTTATCATGTAATAGAAGTACGGTGATAAATACTGCAAAATCAGTTAATAATATTTACATAACATGTAAATTGTTACTTGAATATTTTTTTACCTTTCTTAGAACTGTTATATAAGTGATGGCTGAGAAAACAAAATCGATCTTTCTCACTTTGGAAAGTTACAAAGTTAATTTATATTGACATGATTGATTAATTGTCACATTACTGAATTAGATATGGACAAGACAAAAGAAAAAGCAGTGGGTATACACTGAAATCTAAGTTTTCTGAGATTGTTTACTTAACCATCTGTGAAATAACAAGACTGGTTGTTTTGGTGCGTAACATATTTACAGCGTATAACCAGACTATATATCGTGTAAAATAAGAGTAAGCTTCATTTATTGTGTGTGTTTTTTGTTTTTACTTGGTATACTTAAGTCACGTAGGAACAAATTTTCATGTACTGGTGCAGTTCTTATCTGTCTTATAACAATTACTTTGAATTTTAGCACGAAATACCTGTAGAATTCTGTATCGTTGAATAATTCCGTCCGGAGCTGAATTTCAGCTACGCCGCCCGTTAGTTCTAAATCAATTTCTTCACCACATGATGCTGTAAAACAATGCAATTTATGGAATATGCATAGATTAAGTAATTAGAGGCTTAATTCACAAGATAGTAGGAGTTACTTAGTAGGAGACTAGCCTGCGATATCCCGACTTTTATACTCATGGAGGAGAACTGTTACACGAAGGTTGAAGTTCTTATGATCACTTGTCAGAAGTTCTAATGATAACTGTCACGGAATTCCTGGAAAACGTTACGGATTTCGTCGGAAAACGTTATTGTACGTATACTGAAGAAACACGCGTAGAAATTGGTAATTTTTAACTTTAAATGTGGAGTTTGACGTGCTACATTTAACTTTGATGATAATAAGCTTGTCTTACATATTGTATTATTGTATTATGTGTAAGAAAAAACTTTTCATCGCCTCTTGTTTAAAATCTGGAAGTTTTGAGGAAAATTTCCAAATAACTTGCCGATTCGTTTAAATTGACTTTTTCATTTGTAATCTTCTTCTTTGCCATACTTCATTACCTAATTATAATGGAAAGTTGCAAAAGTAAAGCCCAGGCTAATAAATTTATACCCGATTTTTGGGTCGATTGTGTAACACACAGTTATGAAGTCTTCATAATAATGATGAAAAGAGATGATTCAAATTACATATTCTTTGCAAATATCTGTAAGACAGAGGTTTCTTTCGCAGATAAAAAAAATCATACAGGTTTGTCATTATTTCAATAATAAATTAAGGTATGTTGTTAATTGCACCATGTACAGTAAGGTCTTTCCTTATAATGACGTTCTGAAGTATGCAATCTTGTGTAATTACTGACTTATCAATTACTGATCCTTCATTATTCATGAGAGTCATCAAACTTTTTTAGTCCCCTACCGGTTTACCGGAGGGGACTTCAGGTTAACCCTCCGTCCGTCTGTCCGTCCGTCCGTCTGTCAGTCCGTCAGTCCGTCCGTCCACAAAACTGGATCCTGCGAAAACTTGAAAAGTACTGAAAATATTTTTATGAAACTTTGTATATGGATAGATGGCAGTCTTGAAATTATGCACGTCTTTTTCTTTTCTTCCTATGTTGAAAATTCTGGTTGCTATGGCAACAAATAGGCTGGAAATATGGCAAATTTTACACATAAACTGGATCCAGTGATAAAGCAAAAAGTACTGGAAATATTTTTATGAAACTTGACATATGGGTAGATGGCAGTCTTGAGATTATGCACGTCTTTTTCTTTTCTTCCTATGTTGAAAATTCTGGTTGCTATGGCAACACATAGACTGAAAATAAAGGCAAATTTTACACATAAACTGAATCCAGTGATAACTCAAAATGTACTGGAAATATTTTTATGTAACTTGACATATGGGTAGATGGTAGTCTTGAGATTATGCATGTCTTATCTGTTCTTTCTATTTTGAAAAAATATCAGTTGCCTTGGCAACAAATAGGCTTAAAACATGGCAAATATAACAATATTTGTGATTAGTCAAAAAGAGCTGAAATTTTTTTATGAAATTGCATCTTTAATTCAAGAGTTATCTCCTGTATAAGAATTTTGCTTTCAAAATGTTATATTTTGGTAACAGGGATGTTTCAAATACTAACTTTAGAGTGTCCTTCAGTCCGTCTGTCTGTCTGTTCATAAAAACTGTTTCCTGTGATCACTTTTAAAGAACTTTTCCAACAAATTTACTTAAAATAGAGAAAAATTGAAACATTAGTGAATGGCCCTTCAGAATGTTGATGGGGTTCTAACTGGTAGGGGACTTATGGATTGCTTGCAATACTATGATAATTGCTTGTATTACTTGTTGTACATCTGTGTTTTAAATTCTAATGCTGAACTGATATAATTGTGGACCTTTACTCATTCAAAATCATGACAAGGTATTTAAAAACTTTCATAATTTATTAAAATTTTAATTACCATAATAGATTTATTCAGTGTAGGATTATGGATAATACAAAAAGAAATATTGTAAACATGTTACTCTAAAAAAATAAATGTTTGCTTATAGTGTGCATGTATTCGGAAGTTACGATTTTCATCATTTTTCCAGAATCAATAACAGATTATGCCCGGTTTTTAGTTTCTTGAATTTGAATTTATTATGCTCTTCAATTCTTTTAGTACACCTTGCACATATAAATGCACCTTGCCAGTATGAAGCTTGCTAAAGTACGTAAGTGAAGCTTTCTATGTAAATGAATCATTTCTGTATACACAAATGAAACTTCAACATACAGAATACCAATTGAGGTAAAGTACTAGTAGTCCACTAAGAATCTTTAACTAAGATTCATTTTTTATCCATCTAAAGAGACAATGAGATACAAATAAAAGCAATGATAATTATTTCCTGACAGCAGATTACACTATGGTTCTCCTTGAAGTTAGAAGTGAGATTTCATTGTCCCAGCCTTTTTGAAAAAGGATGATATATAAATAGACTCCGTATGTCCGTCCGCCTTTCTGCCTGTCTGTCCGTCCATCATAGATCAAGGAATTTTGAAAAAATTGGCACAAATGTTCACAATAACAAGACGATGTGTCATGCGCAACAACCAGTCGCTTGCCTCCCAAAGTCAATGTCACAGTCTGACTGGCACAAAGGTTTACAATAAGAATGTGATGTGTTATATGCAACACCAATACACCTACCTTCAAGATCAAGGTCACACTTTGTGATAAAATGTCAACATCGTCTATTCTATATTATTTTTAAAATGTCCGGTCCATAACTTTACCATCTATTAAGGGATTTTTAAATTACTTGGCACATATATTGACAATAATAAGATGACGTGTCATGCACAATACCAGGACCCTTATCTCAAGGTCAATGCCACACTTAGAGGTCAAAGTTTAACATATGGCAGTCCATAATTTCTATTGTTCAAGGGATTTAGATATTACTTGCACAAATTTTCACTATAATGAGGTCATGTGTGATAAGCAGCCAGACAGCCAGACTCCTACCTTCAATGTCATGGTCACACTTGAGTGTTAAAGCTTAACAGAGTCTGTTCTAGGGTATATTTTCTTTCTTTTTTCATCAATCAAGGGATTTTGAAATAACTTGGCACAATTGTTAACAATAATAAGACGAAATATCATGCGCAACACCTAGACCCCTACCTGAAAGGTCAAGGTCAAACTTGAAAGTCAAAGCCTTAAATGGTTTGTTATGATGCCAAGTCGGGCCCATGCAAAAAAAATTTCATTGGTGAATAACCCAAATACCTTGATTGATGGCTGGACATGAAATAGACCATATCCTGTATTGATTCTGTATTTTTTACATTTACTGGCTTTGAAAAAGTGAAAACAAGTATACAAAGGTATTTCTGTTGACACAAACACGGGAGTTATTTAATTTTATATCTTTAATGAACTTATTGTTACTTGCATGTGCAGATCTAGCATTGGTCAAAATTTGGCACTGAGTCCAGATCCATACTTCAATTTTTTGAAATAGCACAATTTTGTGCTTCATGTTAAACTTCCCATAGGCGGGGACGTTATTCACTCTGTTACAAATTCTTTTTATTTCATTACATCAGCTTTTAAGGAAAACAATATTTGTCCTATCATTTGATTATAAATAATTGACAATACCCTTGTATGGTTTTCAGTAGCATTTGTAAAGTTTAAGTATGAATATCAGAGTATATATTACTTTTTATTTCTTGTTGCAAGAAATTGCATTTTACAAAATGGCATAAACTTTAATAATTCATGCAAAGATACCTAAATATGATAAAAAATATAGTAGAAATATGTCTTAGATTTTACTGGTAAATTGTTAAGTATATGGATCACATTGTCTTTTATTATGCTTAATGTACATGTATATTCAGTGCCATATAAACAATTAATTAATTGCAAAACTTTATTTTCCGACTTCAGCTTTAGTTATAGGAAATAAGACGAATTGAACTGCAATCCCTTCAGAAGTTGACAAAGCGCAAATTCCCAGAATATCAACAATTTTAGTCATGATATTTCAACTTTAAATTATAAACTATACATAGGCGTGTATAGTTTTGTTTTCCATAATTTCCTAATAGTGTTAATTTCGGATTATAAAATGCAATGGACAACTTATCAGTCTTTGAAATGATGACTGTTTTACAGTTTTGCTTGTTAATAAACTATTTAACTTAAATATATACTTTTCGTTTGCCAAAGAAATTTAGAATATATATTTATATGTTTGCTTTGTTTGTAAGATCCAAATATATTTCACAGAGTGGACATCAGATTCAATATTTTTTTGGATGGCAATACATATGCAATTTATAACTTTGCCACAAAGGTGGTAAAATGAGGTTGCTTTTTTACTATGTGACAGAAAGTATTTTTTATGTTTTATATCATAATATATGATGTTCAAATGAAGACATATCCATATTGTAAGTCACAAAAAGCATTATTTATAAAGATATTACCGAATTAGCACTTCATACAGGAAGATAATTAGAAATTTATTTTCATTAAAGTCTAAGTCAAATATTTCAAAAAGAAATGAATGCATAGATTTTATTGATTACAAATAATAAGATTGAACATTTGCAGTATCTATTTAACATATTCTTTGACGTTTGAAAATTGTTTTAAAAGAATTATTGTATATAAAATTTCACTTAATTGTTGTTACATACTTAATAACAACATACATGATCTTTAACTGACAAATAATAATTAAAATACGTGTATTTCCCATGATATTTCTGTTTGTTAATAATATGGGCTCTTCACCGGTATTTAATTATAGTCTGGCTACTAAAACAATATACTTAATTTCATTGTGAAATAATCTAAAAGTAATGTCATTTTTTATTTAAATGCATGAAATAAGATATGGCTTTTAACACTTTTTTCTGTCTGTAGATAAATGACTTCTGCAGGACAACTTTTGAAGAAAACGAAGTGTGTTTATATTTGCCATGATAGTATCAAATATAATAAACAGGATCAACAAGGAAAGGCGGCGTTCAGTGAACGGAACCCCCATACGACCCAGT